TGACTCTGTGCAGTTGCCGATTCTGGAAATTTCACACAAATGCAAGCACGCCACGTTTGCCTGGAGTTTGAGCTCGGACAGATCCTGCACAGCCCACTCTGCCCCAGGCCTTGCAGAACCGTCTCCTTAGCATTCAGTCCTCAGCTCAAACTCACCCCTGTCTACGCAGAGGCTCCCGCCGCCCCCAGGCACTCCAGATTTCTTGAGTACCCTGTGCTATTTACTTCCCTCTCAGCACTTCCCACTCAGAGAGCACTGCTTAATCATTTGTTTACGGTTGATTGTCTTTCCCCTTGTTCCTGGGGGTTATCACAGGACAGTGGCAGGTATCTCAGAGGCGGGAGGCATGCACTTGACCATGGTTTGCGGATTGCATGAGGCAAGGCTCTGATGGGGCGGGAGTCGACTGCAGTGGATGAGAAAGGAAGAGAGGGAGGCTGCTGGGGAGGGTGAGGCTGGAGGGACGAGGGGAGCTGGGCTGGCACTCGGGGAGGACAGGGGGGCATTCCTGGTGGGAGGCACGGCCTGGGTGCCTGAAGTCTGGGGTCCTGTTAGAAGCCTGTGCGTCCTGTCTAGCTCTGTATTTTGTCTGTTACTGGTTTCCCTAGCCTTCCACGAAGAGGAGACACCATACCAGCAAACCCCAAAAAGTTCCTGGAAAAGTGGGATGAAAAGATCAGTTTATTTTGGTGCAAATAATCCTTGAAGTCCTCATATATTTTGGGGAATTCAGTTTGACACAACATATAAGTTCTTCCAAGGAGAGGAAGGATGGAGCCCCTTTTGTCTGTTTCTCCTCCATCCACCCCACAGACACAGACAGACTAGTGCCCAGTTTTCTGATTTTAACAAATATATATTTATTTTTATTTTACTTAAAAGGCAGAGAGAGAGAGAGAGAGAGAGAGAGAGATCCTCTATCTGCTGATTCACTCCCCAAATGCCCTCAATAGCCAGGGTTGGGCCAGGTCAAAGCCAGGAACCCAGGACTCCATCCGGGTCTCTTACACAGGTGGCAGGGACCCGTCTCCTGAGCCTCCCTGGGAGTTCAGCAGGAAGCTGGATGGGAAGCAGAGTAACTCAGACCCAACCACTGCACCAACCACCAGCCCTGGTTTTCTGATTTGGAGTCATCCTGCAACCACCTTTGAGAGAAACGAGAAAGGGCAGGCGCTGGCATAGTGGGTGAAGTGCCACTGGGGATGCCTGCAGGCCACTTCGTAGTGCCTGGGTTCAAGTCCCTACTCCACTGCCAATTCCAGCCTCCTGCTAATGCGCACTCTGAAATGCAGCAGATGACGGCTCAAGTACGTGGGTCCCTGCAACCCACGTGGGAGACCTGGACTGAGTTCCAGGCCCCTGGCATCAGCCTGGCCCAGCCCTGGCTGCTGCAGGCATCTGGGGAGTGAGCTAGTGGATAGAGAGTCTCTCTCTGTCTCTCTTTCTTTCAAATAAAATGAAAATAAATTTTAAAAGTTTTCTTTTACAAAAAGAGATGAGTGGGGAACTGGTGATGTGTATGTCAGACAGCTGGAACAGTGTTTGAGGGTCGGGAGAGCGGCCCAGATCTTTGAGTGGAGCAGAGCTAGGGACACCCTCCCCCACTGCTGTCACCACCAGCTCTCCCCAGCCTCATCTTCCTGGCTGAGCCACCAGCCCTCTGGGCACTGGGCTGTCTGTGAGCCCTGTGTCCTTCATTTCTCCTGATTGAATCAGGCCCAGGGGACCCAGGCCCTGTGGCTCTTGAAGTCTAGCTGAGCTTCCAGAAGGAGAGGCCCTTCCCCCAGAGCCATGAGGACTCAGGAGGGGAAATTCAATTGTGTGCAGGGCAGGAGCCATTAACCCGTCTGTGGACGCAGCACCGGGGCTCCCATCACCCCAGCATCTTGGTGCACAGTGGGTTTTAAGTTTAACCGATGGGGAATCTTCCCCAGGTTTGGAGCCAAGCCTGGCTTCCGACCCTGCCCACTCCTGAAGCTCTGGGGCGCATCCCCCTCAAGAGTCTAACGAGGGGCCAGCACTGCAGCGCAATAGGCTAAGCCTCTGCCTGCGGCACCAGCATCCCATCCTGGCTGCTCCACTTCCCATCCAGCTCTCTGCTGTGGCCTGGGAAAGCAGTGGAAGATGGCCAAGTGCTTGGGCTCCTGCACCAGCTTGGGAGACCCAGAAGAAGTTCCTGGCTCCCGGCTTTGGATCAGTGCAGCTCTGGCTGTTGTGGCCAATTGGAGAGTGAGCCAGTGGATGGAAGACCTCTCTCTCTCTCTCTCCCTCTGCCTCTCTAATAAATAAATAAATCTTTTATAAAAAAATGTCTAATGAAGGGGCTCTGGAAGTGGGGGCTGGGGTGATTAGGTAAGAGAATCTTTTTTTTTTTTTTTTTTTTTTTTTTTTTAAGACAGGCAGAGTTTGACAGTGAGAGAGACAGAGAGAAAGGTCTTCCTTCCATTGGTTCACCCCCAAAATGGCCACTACGGCTGGTGCGCTGCACTGATCCGAAGCCAGGAGCCAGGTGCTTCCTCCTGGTCTCCCATGCGGGTACAGGGCCCAAGCACTTGGACCATTCTCCACTGCCTTCCCAGGCCACAGCAGAGAGCTGGACTGGAAGAGGAGCAACTGGGACAGAATCCAGCACCCCGACCGGGACTAGAACCCGGTGTGCTGGAGCCGCAGGTGGAGGATTAGCCTAGTGAGCCGTGGCGCCAGCCCAAGGTCAGGGAATCTTGAGATCTCCAAATCGCAGAGGGTGGCAGGGTGTGGAGGTACAGTGCAGTGCACCCCCAAGACGTGGCTGCTCCTAAGAGCAGTGTGGAAAAGAATGGCAAGTATTTTATGACTTGCATGAACTGTACGTTGAGATGATAATATTTTTAATATAGTGGGTTAAATTAAAATATTGAAAATGAATTTTGGGGCCGGCGCTGTGGCTTAGCAGTTAAGGCCACTGCCTGCAGTGCCAACATCCCATATGGGCATCGTTTCAAGTCCTGGCTGCTCCACTTCTGATCCAGCTCTCTGCTGTGGCCTGGGAAAGCAGTAGAAGATGGCCCAAGTCCTTGGGCCCCTGCACCTGCACAAGGTCTCCCAACCTGGAAGAAGCTCCTGGCTCCTGGCTTTGGATCGGTGCAGCTCTGGCTGTTGTGGCCAATTGGGGAGTGAACCAGTGGATGGAAGACCCCTCTCTCTCTCTGCCTCTCCTTCTCTCTCTGTGTAACTCTGACTTTCAGATGAACAAACCTTAAAAAAATGAATTTCATCTGTAGCTTTTTACTTTTCTTAAAAAAAAAAAAAACATTTATTTGCTTATTTATTTAACCTGAAAAAAGCAGAGACAATCAGACAATGAAATCTTCCATCCACTGGTTCACTCTCTAGATGCTGGAAAGAGGCAGGGCTGGACCAGGCCAAAGCTGAAATCTAGGAACTCAACCCTGGTTGAGTGGCAGGGACCTGAGCTTGAGCCATCAGCTCTTGCCTACCAGGGTGCGCGTTAGCAGGAAGCTGGAGTCAGGAGCAGAGCTGGGACGGGAACCCAGGCCCTCCCCTATGGGATGTGGATGTGCCAAGCAGCATCCTAACCACTACACCAAACGTGGCCCCGCTTTTTACTCTTCTGGACTGCTTACTGGCAAGTGTGAGGCGCAGGTGGCTCAGCTCCCTGCGGGACAGAGCTGGTGCCCGGGGAGGGATGCAGGCTCTAGGTGCTGTATCTCCTTGGCCCTGTGGGTTCACTGCTCTGTGTGTGCCGGTGTGTGGTGGGTGGGGGGAGTAGCAGGAGCAGGTCAGGTGGGGCCCTCTAAAGTGGGTGCTGCTTGGAGACCGGTCCTGACACCCCCACAGGGCTCCCCTAAATGAGCTCTGGCAGGCCATGGACAGGTGAACCTGAGAGGCCCTGGAGGCAGCCCCCAGGGAGGGCATGGCCTGTGCTGCCACCCCCTCCCCCAGCACTGGCGGAGGTGTCTGTTGCTCCCCGGGGCACTGTGGTCACCCCTGTGGGCAGGACAGATGCGGTGGCTGCCTGGTGGCTCACACGGTCCTGGCTCAAGCAGAACCCCCTGGAAGGCTAGGGCAACAAATACCCAGGCAGGAATACACAGGGCCAGGGAGCAGGGAAGGAGCAGAGGCAGAGAGGAGGGAGAGGGGGAGCGGTGCCCAGAGGAGGCCAAGGCAGACAGGTGCCTATGAGCCACGAGGGCTGCAGCGCCAAGGCCTGGGGGGGGGGGGGGTCCCACCGAAGAACAAAGAGTGGGACTGGCCGGCGCCGCGGCTCACTAGGCTAATCCTCCGCCTAGCGGTGCCGGCACACCGGGTTCTAGTCCCGGTCGGGGCGCCGGATTCTGTCCCGGTTGCCCCTCTTCCAGGCCAGCTCTCTGCTGTGGCCCGGGAGTGCAGTGGAGGATGGCCCAGGTGCTTGGGCCCTGCACCCCATGGGAGACCAGGAAAAGCACCTGGCTCCTGGCTCCTGCCATCGGATCAGCGCGGTGCGCTGGTCGCATCGCGCTGGCCGCGGCGGCCATTGGAGGGTGAACCAACGGCAAAGGAAGACCTTTCTCTCTGTCTCTCTCTCTGTCCACTCTGCCTGTCAAAAAAAAAAAAAAAAAAAAAAAAAAAAAAAAAAAAAGAGTGGGACTGAGGAGACTGCCTGGAACAGGAACAGAGTACTCAGAGGCTGTGCCTGCCACCCCACCTCCCTGCAAGGAGAATGGTGCCACTTGAGGACACACCGGAGGCCTGATGGCCATGGCGAAGGAGGGGCTGTCCCCGGAAGGCCAGGCGGGCAGAGTGGGGGCCTCTCCCAGGGTCTGCCCTCCTCTGAGGACCCTGCCCCCGGCCTCCCTTGGCCCCATCCAGCCCCCTCTCCCGTGGGTCCGCTCCTCACCTCAGTACCCTGCACTTTCAGCCCGGCTGGTCTGGCAAAGGGCCAGGGAGCTTCTGCCGCCCACGCCCCGGTGGGGAGGCCTTGCCCACTGCCTGCTTCAAAGTCCAGAGCTTTCAGGCTCTGGCCTCCTGCATGAGAAAGAACGGGGCCGGCTCCTCCGCCCAGCCAAGGAATCAAATCGCCAGGCGCTCAGGGGCTGAGTGAGCTGAGCCACCACCCTGCCCTGGGAGACAGGTGGAATTTCCCCACCACCGCCCACTTACATTCCAATTCTGTGCGAGTGTCCGAGTGTCTGAGGCACACGCAGTCCCCAGTCCTACCACAGCAGTGGGAATGCAGATGGTGTACATGGAGCTGTTACCTGGGGAGCCCCGGCAGGAGACCCAGCAGCAAGCTCACCTGGGTAAGTGCAGAACCGGGCACAGGGCCACAGCAGGACACAGTGGGAATTCTGGGTGGGAATCTAGGGAGCACCCAGACTTCTCAATGCCAGGGCTCGCCCCCCTGGGCCCCCTCCCAGTGCTAAGTGGAGGTCTCAGGATTTTCTCAGCCTAGGACAGTGTGAGCTCTATCTTCTGGGGGCCCCCATCTACATCCAGGGACTGCCCCCACCCTCCAACAGATGAAGGAACACTGGCACTGTGGGAGACACAGTGGGGGCCTCAGCGCCTTGTCCTCGCTGCAGCCCCTCTTGTCCCTCTTGGAGCTGGAGCCACTGCAGGTCCCTGGCTCAACCCCTTAGTAGGTTGTCACTACCCCAGCACTTTTCCACGTGGCCTTGACAGCTCCCTCCCCCACCTTCTCCCTCACCTTCCCCCAGGCAGGGAGCTGCAGGCCTGGGGCTTCCCACCCAGGTCCTACCCTCCCAGCATTAAACACTTAGCAGGCCAGGCAGGAAAGGGGTAGGGGGCAGGTGGAAGCCAGGCCCCCAAGGCTCCAGACAGGAGCATCTTTGAATGTTGCCCGAGGCTGGGAATTCAGATATTTTTTCTTTCTTTCTTTTTTTGGCATGAAATTGGTTGGCAGCAAATTCAACAAAAAACAAAAACAAAAACAAAGCAGTGTGTGGGCTCACACAGCTCCACCTGCAGCCTGGATTCGCCTGAGGCCGCCGGCTCTGACAGCTGCCTTCCCTGTCTCGTGTGCCCCCTCCCACACCTGCAGCTCTGCGTAGTAGAGGGAGAATTCCACAGAACCAGCTCCACCCAGCACAGTCTCCTCGCAGCCCCCCTCTCTCTCCTCCCTTCCCTGGGCAGCTTCTTGAAAGAGCGGTCTCCGGTCTCCGGGGCTGGCACTTGGCACAGCAGTTAAGTTGCCACAGCAGCTAAGTGGCCGCCTGGGAAGCCCACATCCCATATCAGAGTGCCTGGTTCGAGTCCTGGCTCCTCTGCTTCCTATCGCGCCTCCTGCTAACGCGCACCCTGCGAGGCAGCAGGTGGTGGCTGAAGTGCCTGGGCCCCTGCCACCTGTGCAGGAGACCCTGATGGAGCTTCTGGCTCCTGGCCTTGGCCTGGCCCAGCCCCAGCTGTTGCAGGGATTTGGGAAGTGATCCAGCACATGGAAGGGCTCTTTGTCTCTCTGCCTTTCAAATATAAGCAGATTTCACAAGAGAGCTAAGTGCTGTCCCTGAGAAGCGGCTCACTGCCCTCCCGCTCTCCCCAGGCCCTCCCCTGGGATTCTGCTGGCCCCGAGGGCAAAGCCCCGTGACCTGGAGACTCCTCCCTCCATGTCCTTGGCACAGCTCTCTCCCGGGTCTGCTCTGCCTCTTGGGCCCCTCCTCCTGGGCGGGAGTGGAGGGCACCATGACGGCTCCAAATTCACCTCCCCTTGCCGCTCTCCTGACCCCACGTCTGCGTGTCCACTGGCTGCCTGCACACATCCTGCAGGGTCTCCCAGGCTCTACCACTCAGCCTTCCCCAGACGCATCCATCAGCCCCTCCGAGAGCAGGCATTCATTTGTTCTCGCAACTAAAACACCTGCATCCCGTATCTGAGTGCCTGGGTTCGAGTCTTGACTCCAGCTCCCAATTCCAGGCTGCCAGGAACCTGGGGCCCTGCATCCCCTCTTCCCATGAGTCCAGCTCACCAAGCCCTGCAGCTCCTGGGCCGCACAGCTGCCTCCTCACCGTCGGCCTCCGGCCTTGCCCCCACCACCTTCTCCATTGGAGTTCTGACTCAGCTCTATTGATATCACTCCAAATTTCTCTCTTATTTCAGGAGGAATTCTTTAAAATATTTAAAATTTTATTCTTATTTATTTATTTATTTATTTAAGAGGCCAAGGGAAACTCCCATCTGGTTCACTCTCCAAATACCAGCGCACTAGCCAGGACTGGGCCAAGCCAAAGCCAGGATCCAGGATCTCAGTCTGGGTCTCGCACACAGGTGGCGTAGGAACCAACTCGTTGACAACCTGCTGTGTCCCAGGGTGCACGTGGGCAGGAGGCTGGGACCAGCACCCAGGAACTCTGATAGGGGATGCAGTGTTCCACATGGAGACCTTGCCCCTGGGACAAACGCCTACCCCCAGGAGGTTCTTTCCTCCCTGTCTCGCGCCCTGGGCCCTGAGCCCATGTTGACTGGCGCTGCCCGCCCAGCCACATGGGTCTGAGACAGTTCCTGGCACATGTCCTGTTCTCTTACCCCTCCAGGCCTGGGGTCATGCTGTCCCTGCCACCTGGGATGCCCCCCCTCCTCACCTTCCCAGCTAATTCCCACCTCTTCTGCACACTTGGCAGAGGCTGGGCGGGAGGATCCGCCCTTTAGCTCGTCCAGCACACAGCATCCGTTCACCATGGCCCCCTAGTTGTCCATTTGCACGTTGGTATCTATTACTGAGCGTGAGACCGAACAAACGAACAGGGTCAGATCATATATAAAGATAGGACTCGGACCCACAGTCTGAAGCCCCACCCAGGAAACCACCCCACGATCTCCAGGAGGCAGCCCTCCACCCACAAGTCACTTGCAGGAAGCGAGAGCAGCATCTGAGCAAATGGCCTTTGCCCGGTCCTACTGGGTCTGTCTGTATCTCCACATACTCCAAAGGCAGGGCTCTGCTAGCGTTTCGATGTGGTCTATCTCCTCCAAAATGACCTGGATGCTTTGTCCTAACACGGCAGTGCTGGGAGGTGGGCCCAGCTGGGGGCGTTGGGGTCACGAGGACAGAGCCCCTGTGGATGGGTGCCTGCCTTTCTCCTGGGAGTGAGTTACAAAGCGAAGCACCCCCCACCCCGTGTTCTCTCTCTTCCACGTGTGCCGCTGGCCCTTCTGCCCTCTGCCAAGCACTGGAGCAGCACGAGGCCCGCCCCAGAGGCTGAACAGCTCCTGCGTTTTCCAGTCGCCATAAACCTCTGTCCTCATAAACTAACTGGTCTGGGGTGTTAAATAACAAAAACATTTTGGGCTGGGCATTGTACAGCGGGTTCAGCTGCCACGTGGGGTGCTCATAACACATGTCAGAGTGCTGGTTCCAGTCCTGGCTACTCTGCTTCCAATCCAGCTCCCCACTAATGTGCTCGGGAAGGCAGCAGGTGATGGCTCAAGAACTTGGGTTCCTGCCACCCACATGGGAAACCCTGATGGAGTTACCAGCTCCTGGCTTTAGCTTGGCCCAGCTCTGGCTGTTGTGAGCATCTGAGGAGTGAACTAGAGGATGGAAGATCTCCCTCCCTTTCTGCTTTCCCCCTCTCTGTCTACCACTCTGCCTTTCAAATAAATAAATATTAAAAAAAAAAAAAATGACCTCCTGTTCCTGTGGGTCAAATGGACTCCTAGGCTGGGCTGTTGTTCTCAGCTGGGGCTCAAACGACTGGAGTCACACAATGCCAGGAGCTGGGGACATCTGGGGAATGAGCTCAGATGCTGCGCCTCTGGGCCTCTGTCCACTCCAGTGGCCCCAGAGCTTCTCCTCTCGGCCCGTCTCTATGCGTACTCCCGCTTGCTAGCTAGTGGATGTTCCCATAGTGGCTTAAACCTTCCCGAAACACAAAAGCAAAGCTTCTTAAGGCTTAGGACCAGAATCGCCACTGCATCCACAATCTATTATGTTCTACTACCAAAGTCAAGTTGCAGACCCAGCCCAGATCCCAGGCAGGGTGGAACCCTCACCAGTGCACGACCAGCAAGAGGTTGGGGGCCATCTTCAGAGAGGGACGGGGTGCCCTCGGCATCTCGCAGGGGGCCTGCGTCAGTGCTCGGTGCACTTGATAACCAGGGGAGTGGATGACGGATGATGGAGCCAACAGATGGACCCAAGGGCTCCACGCCAGCTTCCCTGCCCCCAGGCCCTGCCACCACGTTCAGCTCACATCAACACTGCTCTCTGCTGCTTAGTGCTCTATTTTTAAACCTCTCAAGCAATGAGTGGTGCTTAACATTTTTTTTAATCAGCGACCCCTTAAGGAATCTCATGAAAGCTGCAGGAGACCCTGTCCCTAGAGAAACATGCTCAGTGCCAGAGCAATGCGGCAGCATGTTCCCGACAGCAGCCCTGCCCTCAGCACCAGCAACTGTGGACGCACAGCAAGCGCGCTACCCGGCGCGTTACTCCAAACGTGCTGGGTAGCAGATGACACCATGGAGCCCCACTGTATAGAAGGGAAAGCTGAGGCTCAAGGAGGTTAAAGAATAACTGGGGGAGGAGGCGACACTGTGGCACAGCTGGTTAAGCCACCGCTGGCATACCCACATGGGTGCCAGTTTGATTCCTGGCTGCTCCACTTCCAATCCAGCTGTCTGCTAATGCTCCTGGGTAAGCAGTGGAGGATGGCTCATGTGCTTGGGCCCCTGCGCCCACGTGGGAGATTAGGATGGAGTTCCAGGCTCCTGGCTGTGGCCTGGCCCAGCCCCAGTCGTTGTAGATATTTGGGGAATAATCACTGGATGGAAGATCTCCCCGCCCCCTGCCACCACCTTTCTCTCTCTGTATACTGTGCCTTTCAAATAAATAAAACAGAAATCTTTTTTTTTTTTTTTTCTTTTAAAGATAACTAGAAAGTGGCCACACGGGGACTGAAAGGCCTATCAGCTCCGCCATCCCCCCAGCACCACACCCTTTCTAAAGGTTCAGGCACACTCTGAAGTCCATCTGTGAGCCCCAGGTTAAGAATTTCTCCTTTACAAAAGAATAAAGGCCTCCTCCCCCTGCTCCTAAAGCCTGCTTTCTGACACCCTACCTGGGACAGGTGTTTGGTGCGACAGAGAAGATGCTGCCTGGGCTCCACTCCTGAGTCCAGCTCCCTGCTAATGTGCAGTACCTGGGTCCCTGCCACCCACGTGGGAGACCTGGATTAAGTTTTCGGCTCCTGCCTTTGGCTTGGCCTAGTCCTAGCTGCTGCAGGCACTGGGGCAGTGAATCAGTGGATGGGAGATCTGCCTCTGTCTCTGCCTTTCTCCCTTTCCAATAAGATGGAGACAAATTTCAAATTCAGAAAATAGGTAAAGACTGTTGAAGACCCTGAGGGAGACCCTGGCCGCCCCCTGTCCTTCTCTCTTTGGGCTCCGCCCCAGAATGCCCCTTCCATCCTCTGTCTGCACCAGAAGATCAAGGCTCCCTTCTCCGGGGTTTGCCCAGACATGTGCCTGCCTGCCGGCGGCGGGGCTGCCATCATTCTCTGAGTGCTAACTGCCCAGCAGGGCTGTGAGCCCCTCTGAGCAGACACCCCCCCACAGGCCTGCGCATACACTCTGTGGTACAGAGACTCCTCCCAAGGCCCGTTTTCCATGCTGTCCTGTTGGGTCCTGAATCCTCAAACCCCAAGCCTGCATGAGACTCCAGAGTGGCCCTGAGCAGACAGGGGCCGCCTGCAGTGGTCAGGCCTCCTCTTTGCTGAGAAGCAGCAGCTGGAACCCAGTCTCAGGCCGCCCCCACCTGCTGCTCCAGCAGGGCTGTGTGGTGTCATCTGTCCCTTTGTTTGCATTCTCAGGGGACTTCATGTTACATGAAATCTGTAGCTGCTTTGTTTCCTGATAACCAGAGTAAAGCCCAGAAAGAATACACACCATCAGTAGGATGGACGGCTTCTTTGGAAGCTCACAGGACAAAAGAAACAGCAGCGTGCTGATCCCACGAGAGTCTGCTCCCTGGGGCCTCCAGGCCGCTGGTCAGCAGCGTCCGGCACAGGGACAGCAGACAGAAAGCAGAACCTAAGACTGCCATCAGTCCTCGGACAGAAGTGGCTAACCTTTCTTGCCTCCTTCCACCACTTCTGGCTGGCACCAGACTCATGACCAGCCTGTAGGTCAAGGTTACTACCCTCCAGGCCCTGGGTGAAGCACTTCAAATACAATGTTCCATTTAGTTCTCACTACAACCACACAAGCAAACTGCTTAATACTAAGACTCCACGTTAGGGGCAGGCATTCGTTTGTTCTCGCAACTAAAACACCTGCATCCCGTATCTGAGTGCCTGGGTTCGAGTCTTGACTCCAGCTCCCAATTCCAGCTTCCTGCTAATGCAGATCCTGGGAGGCAGTGTAGTGATGGCTCTGTTGGTTACTTGTCACTCACGTGGAAGACCTGAACCAGCAGGTGCAAGATCTCTGTCCTATTTTTCCTCTCTGTTGCTCTGCCTCTCTAAATAAATAAATAAATAATAAGGGACAGAAGCTCAGAGAGGAAATGACCTGTCCATTTAATGAAGGGACAACTGACACAGATGTGGGCAGAACCTGGGGTATCCTTGCAGATAGCAAACAACTGTCAAGAAAACACTGGCAGGGACTAGTGTTGGCAAAGTGTGAAGATGCTCTTGAGAGACACCCACATCCCAAATTGGAGTGCTTTGCTTTGAGTCCCAGACTATGCTTTTTTGTTTAAGATTTATTTATTTATTTGAAAGAGTTACATAGAGAGAGGAGAGGCAGAGAGAGAGAGAGAGGTCTTCCATTCATTGGTTCACTCCCCAACTGGCCCCAACGGCCAGAGCTGCGCCAATCTGAAGCCAGGAGCCAGGAGCTTCTTCCAGGTCTCCCATGCGGGTGCAGAGGCCCAAGCACTTGGGCCATCTTCTACTGCTTTCCCAGGCCATAGTAGAGAGCTGGATCAGAAGTGGAGAAGCCGGGTCTTGAACTGGTACCCATATGGGATGCTGGCACTTCAGGGTAGGGCATTAGCCCGCTGTGCCACAGCGCCAGCCCCCTGGGCTCTGCTTCTGATCCAGCTTCCTGCTGGGAAGGCAGCAGGCTCAAGTGGTTGGGTTTCTGTCACCCACATGGGAGCTCCTAGTTTGTGGGTATTTGGGAAGTGAACCTGCAGAAGCCAGATCTCTGAGTCTCTTTCAAGTAAAATGAAAATAAATAAATACAATTCTTTCAAAAAGAAAACCCTGGCCTGAAGGGGCAAGAAAAGGGGCCCCAGAACCCAAATACGAAGGGCCAGGGCTGAAGCCACTGCGGGGACGGAGGGAGGGTGAATACTGAGCAACTGCAGGGCGCTGGTGCAGGAGGGAGAGGGGGATTTCCCAGGATCTCCACCAGCTGGGACAGAACAGAGCCCTCATTCAAACTCAGGCGCACCTGCCTCCAAAGCCAAGATTTAGCCTGTCCAAGGTTAGAAGCCAGAGGGGCTCGGGGGTGTGTGCTCAAGCCTAAGGTTCCCCACCGTCCTAAGTGTTGCCACCCCTGTGAACCCCAGCACCACAGTCCCACACCCCCTTGATTCCCCACTTCCTTGAGAAGATCTGGCGCAGGGAGTAGAAGCCCCCGGCGGAGGCAGGTGTGGCTCTACAATTAACCTAAAAGCCTCTTATTACCATCTTGGCCTAAAAGGCCCTAAACGCCCACACAGAAAGTGGCCTCCCCCAGCCCGAGTGGCTTCCAGCACGGGGCAGAGAAAGGGTTTCAGCGAGGGTGCAGGCCGAGGCTGGGCAATTCGGAACATCCACAGAGAGGCCAGCCGATCCGGCTGCCGCCTGGGACGGGAGGAGCCAGGTGCGCTAACACCACCTCATCTCACCAAGCCCGGCCCCTTCTGCAGATTTATTAAATCAAGAGCCAATTCTGACGCGCTTTCTTTCAAGCAGCTTACCTTGCAGGTGTGCGGAATCTGTCTGAGATAAAGAAAACCATTACAGAGAGAGCACAGCCTTCAAAGCCCACCTTGGAGACTAGAAAGAAATAGAAACAGTAGCCCGGACAAATGTGCAATTAACTTTCCAAATACTTGGGAGCCTGAGAAACAACATCCCCGCAGAGAGCAGGTCTTGAAGGCAATTTTCTTGAACTCCATTCAGCACTCACTCAAAATGCCTTTTAAAAATAACACACGATTTTCCTCCCTCTCCAAACGCGCCCTTGTTCTTTCTCTCCCAGGTAAGAATGAGCTGGCTCTGAGTGAGAAATGCAGCCACCGGTTTCGACAGGGGGTGATGGGCTGTGTTCCCCAGGAGGGCAGGTAATGGAGCCAACAAACACCCAAGCCGGGTAGGACAGAAGCCGGGTTGGGGTGTGGGAAGAGCCGGGTCTTCAGTGGTTCCAGGGACCAGGCTGGGCTCCGAGGGCTGGGCGGGGTTCAACAAAGGCCCACTCTCCCCAGGGGGAGATCTGATTCCCTGTGAGAAGGGGAAGGCTCAGGCTCAGGTCTGCTTTGCTAATGAAAGAACCAAGGGAGCGGGTGTTGGGCACAGCAGCTAAGCTGCCCCTTGGGATGCCCGTGTCCCATATCGGGGTGTCTGGGTTCGAGTCCTGCTTCTGGTGTCTGACTCCGGCTTCCTGTAACTCTGGACTCTGGGAGGCCCTGATGATGGTCCAAGTGATTGGGTCCCCACCACCCATGTGGAAGCCCTCAGCTTTGGCCCTGCTGTTTGGGGAATGAACCAGTGGGTCTGTAGATGATAGAGCTCTGTTTCTCTTTGCCTCTCAAATAAGTAATGATTTTTTTTTAAAAGGCTGGCCTTAAACTGGGACTCAGTTTGGATCCTAGCTTGTCATTCAGTGTCTGTGTGCCCCTGGACAAAGCCCTTGGCTATTGTGAACCCATTTCCCCTTCTGTGAAATGGGGAGATTAATAATAAGAGATCAAATAAACTAATCCATGTAAAGTGCTTAGCTACTGCTGGCACAGCGCTAAGTGCTTAATAAGCAGTTATTTTGTTATCATTACAGTCCTCTCAGATGGGGCTCCATGTGCTAAAATTTAATTTCTTTGTATTTATTTTTGCAGTTGCTGTCTATTTATGGCAAGCGATACTGAGTCTCCGTTTACAAAAGTGTTATCAAGTTTCCCTTTAAAATACATTTATTTAAGCTAAAGTGGGTCAATCTACAAGGAAAAAAAAAAAAAAAGACGTGGAAAAAAAAAACCAAACAGTGCAGGCGGTGCACAGATGCGTGAGGCAGGGACCCAGATCTGGGGAACACCCAGAAAACAACCTGGGTGTCAGGCGAAGGCACCCACCCCAGGGTCGTTCTGAGATCCCTAACCGTGGCGGTGACCTTGGAGCCTACTCTGGTGTACCTCGGGGCTCCTCCTGGACCCTCCCACATCGTGTCCCAGGCGGAAGTCCCCAGCTCCCGTGAGCATGACTTTCTCAAAGAGGAGCTGTGCAGAGCCGCCCTAGGGCCCTGGCCTGCCTGCCTGCCTGCCTCCCTCGGGTATCTGGGACCCAGGCAAGGCCCTCGGCCCCGGCACAGACCGCTGCTGGGCCGGGGACTGGAGCCGGAGCGGGGGTGGGGCGGGATGGGGCGCTGGCTCTTTGAAGACGGGAGCCTAACCAACGCCAGCCTTCTGCAACTTGCGAGAGGCTGAGAGCAGCTGGGAGACACAACACCCTCCTGGCTCTCGCCGAGGTGTTACAACTCGGGCCGAGTTGCCTGGCAACCGTGCAGGTGTCTGATAGGGCGAGCAGCGCGCCCGGGGAGCCAACCGGGGCGCGTGGGGCCGGCCCAGGTGGGTGCCCGTAATGGGGCCGGGCCGCACCCGCTCTCCACACCCCTCCTGCTGCTTCCCGCTCCTTGCACGCGGGTGGGAGGTCGTGGCGCCTGCCAGACCCCGCGGGACTGTAGAATCCCACCATGCTCCTGCCTCTGGGAGGGGGTTCAGCGGCAGAGCGCCTCGACAGGTGCGAGCCGGCCTCCTGGGCCCCACCCAACTGCGGCCCTAATTCAGCACTTGTGAGAGACTCACGAATGGGGCAGGTGGCATCCCCCACGCTAGCATCCGGGCTCTCCCGTGTCATATAAGCACATTTTCTTCCGTCCCCCAGAGAAGGTGCTAATGGAGCAGGCACCTTGAGAGGAGGGCCTGGGTGGGAGCCATTTAGGCGGGTGGGTTCTGAGTCACCAGAGAGCTGGCGGAAAGAGCTGCTGTGAGCTCTGGGCGCCCGGGCTCCATTTGGGTTCCAGCCAGTGACTGAATGGCTGTGGAACCTTGAGCTGCTCTCTCAACCTCTCCCTTTGCTCATTCCTAAAATGGGGGAACCAGGACCCACTCTGCAGGGCAGCAGTGTGGGTTAAGCCAGGTGATGCCCACGGGAGGTGCAGCTTGGTGCTTAGCCAATGCTTAATCCAAGAAACATAAATAGCACTGGGGTGTCGCTGTGACCCCTGGTTAAGCTGCCACAGGCGATGCTGGCATCCCAGGCTGGAAGCACTGGTTTGAATCTCAGCGGCTCCACTTCCAATCCAGCTCCCTGCTAATGTACTTGGGAAAGCAATGAAAGATGACTGGAGTGCTTGGGCCCTTGCCACCCATGTGGGGACCAGGAGGAGTTCCTAGTTCCTGGCTCCAGCCTGGCCATTGTGGCCCTTTGGGGAGTGAACCAGCAGATGAAAGATCTCTCTTTTCTATATATAATTCTGCCTTTCAAATAAATAAATCTTGAATAAACAAATAGTTCCATTTGGATCTGGAAGCTGTTGCCACTGGGCTCAAGTCACAGAGTGACTCCTACTCAGCACCATGGTGTTCTGAGCCCCTCACCAGCCCCACTCCCAGTGACCCGTGCAAGTAGCTGCTCACAGCTTGGTCCAGAGAGCAGTGAGCTCTCTGACTTCAGCTTGCAGTGGCTACCCCCAACCAGCAAATGGCACAGCCCCATTTTCAATAATTCTAGGGAGAATGGGGCATTTGGCTTGGTGATTAAGATGCTAGCTGTAGGGCCGGCACCACAGCTCAGTAGGCTAATCCTCCGCCTTGCGGCGCCGGCACACCGGGTTTTAGTCCCGGTCGGGGCGCCGGATTCTGTCCCGGTTGCCCCTCTTCCAGGCCAGCTCTCTGCTGTGGCCAGGGAGTGCAGTGGAGGATGGCCCAAGTGCTTGGGCCCTGCACCCCATGGGAGACCAGGAAAAGCACCTGGCTCCTGGCTTCGGATCAGCGTGGTGCGCTGGCCGCAGCGTGCCGGCCGCGGCGGCCATTGGAGGGTGAACCAACGGCAAAAAGGAAGACCTTTGTCTCTGTCTCTCTCTCTCCACTGTCCACTCTGCCTGTCAAAAAAAAAAAAAAAAAAGATGCTAGCTGTCAGGGCCGGCGCTGTGGTGCAGCAGGTTAACGCCCTGGCCTCAAGTGCCGGCATCCCATGTGGGTGCTGGTTCTAGTCCTGGCTGCCCCACTTCCCATCCAGCTCTCTGCTATGGCCTGGGAAAGCAGTAGAAGATGGCCCAAATTCTTGGGCCCCTGCACCTGCATGGGAGACCACGAAGAAGCTCCTGGATCCTGGCTTCGGATGGGTGCAGCTCTGTCTGTTGCGGCCATCTGGGGAGTGAACCAACGGAAGGAAGACCTCTCTCTCTGTCTCTCCCTCTCACTGTCTGTAACTGTACCTCTCAAATAAATAAATAAAATCTAAAAAAAAAAAAAAATGCTAGCTGTCGTATCTGAATGCCTAGTCCCAGCTCAGCTCTGGATTCCAACTTCCCATTAGCGTGCCTTGTGGGAGACAGCAGGTAATGGATCAAGTGGATGAGTCTCTGCCTCCCACATGAGGAGACCTGGGTTGAGTTCCAGGTCCCTACTCTGCCTCTCCAGTATAACTAACTAACTAACTAACTAACCAAACCTAGAGAAACTCTGCCTAACCAGCCCACTCTCTCTCGAGCAGCATTCTCTGCAGGGTCCTCTGTATGAGCTGCTCCGCCTTCTCAGGGCACAGTTGCTCACCTGAATTCCACAGGGCCAGGCACAGCTCCCCTTCCCCCAGGAAAAGAAAGGGAGAGACAGGTCAGCCAGGTCTAACTCCTCCCTCCCCATCGCAGCCACGACGTCCACTCACTGCCAGGCAGGCAGGCCAAACACGAGAGCACCCGCGCCGGGCAGTGCGTGGCCAAGGCAGACTCCACCCAATCTTCTGGAGGCTCCTGGGAGGCCAGGCTGAACCCCACGGGCTGAAGGCCAAGATATGTTTGCCACACACCCCCCAGCCTGGGGATGTCTCAAAACCCTGCACTCCAAATCCACTTGGCTCAGATATGTCTTCTGAAAAAGATTCATTTCTGTTCTATGGAATCCCAGGCAGCCTCTGACATTGGTGTTTACATGGGTTTTCAAAGCTTCGGCTTTTCAGTGAAAAGTCAACAGACTAAAATGTTACCAGTGGCGTTTGGGCTCCCCCCAGTTTCTTTTTTTTTTTTACTTATTTGAGAAGCAGAGAGAGAGAGAGAGACTCCCATTCACTGGTTACTCCCCAAATGCCTGCAACAGCCAGGAGCTGAGAATTCAATCCAGGTCTCCCACGTGAGTGGCAGGAACCCAATTACTTGGGACATCACCTGCTGCCTCCTAGAGTTCGGATTAACAGAGTGGAGCTGGCGCTCAAACACAGGTACTAGGATGTGGAATGCAGGTGTCTCACCCACTAGGCCAAATGCTCGCAACCCACCCCCCACCCATTTCTTTATAGTTTTCCATATGTTTCACATTTTCCACAGATGATGTGTATTGCTTTTACAGTAGAAAATGAAAAATAAACAAAAAACAAAGATTAATTAGTGGGCCCATTCAGGAATCTGTTTAAATACTTATCCAAGGAAGAGAAGGGCTCCCTAGGGGACTGGAACGGGCCCCGACCCCTGGCTGCTTTGTGGAGCCATACGACAGGGATGGCGGTGGGGGGGGGGGCAATGATGGGAGGAAGAGCCCAGGGGAGGCTCCTGTGAGCACCCCCACAGGGCACCGTGGGCAGCAGGAGCCTGGCTGCTTCCTGGGAGCCTGCCCAGGGCCCTAGCCAGAAGCTGCCCTCCTAGGAGACACAAAGCTGACTCCATCCTGGTGTCCTGTCTTTGCTCAGCTCGCTCTCTCTCCACGGGGACTTTCGGGAGATAGAAGAGGTGGCTCTGCCCATCTCTCATCCACTGCAGCTGCCCATCAACAGGCTGGTTGCCCAGAGCCCACCCTGGCCCAGCCCCACACGAGTCGCTGCCTCCTTCCAGCTCAGCCTGCTTCCATCCCATGGCCGATGGGTATTGCTGGGGCATCTCTGTCCATGTTTTGGCCTTGACCACTCTTCTCCCAGAAAGCCTTAGAACCTGCCAGTAAAGGAGCTTCCACAGGATGCCAGGAGGCAAAGTCCAAGAGGCAGGACGGTGCTTTCAAAACCATAGCAGTGGCCGGCGCCACGGCTCAATAGGCTAATCCTTCGCCTTGTGGCGCCGGCACACCGGGTTCTAGTCCTGGTCGGGGCGCCGGATTCTGTCCCGGTTGCTCCTCTTCCAGGCCAGCTCTCTGCTGTGGCCTGGGAGTGCAGTGGAGGATGGCCCAAGTACTTGGGCCCTGCACCCCATGGGAGACCAGGAGAAGCACCTGGCTCCTGCCTTCAGATTAGCATCGTGCGCCAGCCGTGGCGGCCATTGGAGGGTGAACAAATGGCAAAGGAAGACCTTTCTCTCTCTCTCACTGTCCACTCTGCCTGTCAAAAAACAAACAAACAAACAAACATAGCAGTGAGCGCAGACAGGTGGTGGTGAGGGGCACCAGCACTGTGCTCAGCCCGACACTGTGAGATCGCTCATCCACAAACACCCCCACAAGCTGGGGTGACTGTGCATTCTCTGGAGATGAACTCGAAGCTCAGAGGGGCTCAGAGGCTGCCACAAGCACCCAGCAGAAAGTGCAGAGCAAGGGCCAAAGCCAGGACCTCGGTCTCAGCCTCCTGCTCCTGCGAGCATCTTCCTCACCAGCCTAGCCCCAGGGCAGTGTCTGGCTCACAGCTAGTACCCAGCAACCCCGCGGTGAATGAAGAAGGCAGGGACTGAGGCAGCTCACGGCTCCTACACCCCAGTGTCCTGCTCTGCTCATCTCTGCAGGAACACTGGGAAGGGGCACTGCCACAACCACGGGCCCCTCCTTGGGTGCCCTGTGGGAAGTGCTCTCCTCCTCCTGCTCCAGGGTGCACTGCCAGCCTCCCCGACAGCTCTGCCCGCTGGCTAACCCTAGAAGGGGGGCCAGGGAGGGGCACTGGCCACAGGTGACTTTATACCTGTTGTTGCACCCCCCCCCTTTTTTTTTAATTTATTTAACAGGTAGAGTTATAGACAGTGAGAGAGAGACAGAGAGAAAGGTCTTCCTTCCGTTGTCTCACTCCCCAAATGGCCGCCACGGCCGGAACTATGCTGATCTGAAGCCAGGAGCCAGGTGCTTCCTCCTGGTCTCCCATGCAGGTGCAGGGCCCAAGGACCTGGGCCATCCTCCACTGCACTCCCGGGCCACAGCAGAGAGCTGGACTGGAAGAGGAGCAACTGGGACTAGAACCCAGCATCCATATGGGATGCTGGCACTGCAGGGGAGGGTTAACCAAGTGAGCCACAGCGCCGGCCCCTGCACCTCCCTTTGCTGTGAGCTCCAGGAAGACAGGGCCTGTCTTTGTTTCTGGGGAGCACCAGGCCCTGGGAGGCCATTTATTTTGGGAGGTGAGCTCCCTGAGACCTCACATTCTTCTGAGGATACTTTCTTTTCTTTTCTTTCTTTTTTTTTGGGGGGGGGGGGAGACAGGCAGAGTTAGTGAGAGAGAGAGATAGAGAGAAAGGTCTTCCTTCCATTGGTTCCCCAAATGGCCGCTATGGCCAGCGCGCTGCGCCGATCAGAAGCCAGAGCCAGGTGCTTCCTCCTGGTCTCCCATGCGGGTGCAGGACCCAAGCACTTGGGCCATCCTCCACTGCCTTCCCGGGCCACAACAGAGAGCTGGCCTGGAAGAGGAGCAACTGGGACAGAATCCGGCATCCCAACCGGGCCTAGAACCCAGGGTGCCGGTGCCGCAGGCGGAGGATTAGCCTAGTGAGCCACGGCGCCAGCCTCTGAGGATACTTTTAAAAATTAAATTAGAAGCTTTTCAAAATCAAAGATTCTATCATTATTTGAAAGGCAGAAAGAGGGAGAGAGAGAGTTTTCATCTGCTGGTTCACTCCCCAAATGGCTAAAACAGCTGGGTCTAGGCCAAGCCAAACCAAGAGCCCAGAGCTCCATCCAGGTCTCTCACATAGGTGGCAGATGCCCAAACACTTGGGCGATATTCCAGTGCCCTCCCAGGTGCAATATCAGGGCACTGAATGGGAAGTGGAGCAGCCGGGACTCAAACTAGCGCTCTGATAGGGGATATCAGCATTGTAGTTGGTGGTTTAACCCACTTCACCACAATGCTGGCCCCCCTGGGCCTAACTGGGTACTCAAGAGTTGTCATGCTTTTTCAGAAAAGAGGGCACAGAAAAGGATGTTTTTAGGTTCCACAAAATCGACCTGGTCTGGAGTGCCAAAGCCTGGAAACCCCCTCTGCCAATGGCAAGGCCCAGAGCCCGCGCAGCTGACACACGTGAGCTGGTTTGCCTGTAGAACAAATGCTAGGCTGGGATAAGGGCCCCAAGGCCAAGGCAACCCCAGACCCTGTATCAGGGCCAGACATACATAAAATGCAGGCAGCAGGAGTGGGAAGCACCCTCTTCCCCCACCCCCATTTAGTGACACTATCATATAGTCCAAAAAAAACTTTTTTTAAAAAGATTTATTGCTGGCGCCGCGGCTCACTAGGCTAATCCTCCGCCTTGCAGTGCTGGCACACCGGGTTCTAGTCCCTGTCGGGGCACCGGATTCTGTCCCGGTTGCCCCTCTTCCAGGCCAGCTCTCTGCTGTGGCCAGGGAGTGCAGTGGAGGATGGCCCAAGTGCTTGGGCCCTGCACCCATGGGAGACCAGGATAAGTACCTGGCTCCTACCATCGGATCGGTGCAGTGCACCGGCCGCAGCGGCCATTGGAGGTGAACCAACGGCGAAAGGAAGACCTTTCTCTCTGTCTCTCTCTCTCACTGTCCACTCTGCCTGTCAAAAAAAAAAAAAATTATTTACTATTTGAAAGGCAGAGTTACAGATTTTACAAAGAGGGAGAGTCAGACAGAGATCCCCATTCACTGGTTCACTCCCTAAATGGCCGAAACAGCCAGGGCTGGTCTAGGCCGAAACCAGGAGCCTGGAACTCCATCCGGG